GACAATAACATCCCTTTCTGAGCCAGATTAACTGCAGAAGGTGTAGCTGAGAGGAGTTGAATCCAGAGAAGACTTGCTAACTTCTGAGAGGGGAGCCCTCTGAGCTGTTGCAATAAGGAGTTGATCTGGATTGAAGATAGTGCCAGCAGATCATTTTTCTGTCTTCGTTGAATAAGGGAGTCACAAAGGGGTTTCTTGGCTTTTTCTCACAAGAAGAAAGTACCAATCTTTGAAGAATAGTGACTCATATTAGCCATATCCTTGTTGATAGCCCACCTCAGAGTTCGGAAGTCCACTGCAGCTGACTTCAAGGGCTAAGGGCCTTGGGGCAGCTTAACTGTCTGTATCACGGTACCCCCTGCTGCAGCTTTTTTGTAAGCTACCAAAGTAGTTACTTCCACTAATCCAGCCAGCGAGTCTATTCTGCAATCAGCTGTACAGATCAGTTCCTTTGTGAAGTTGAAGGAATCAGTCATTTCCCAAACTCTTGCAGCATATCCCTCCAATCCCAAGTCCGTTGTGATCTGGTAAATCTCCCTTGCAGACTTCTCCACATTCCGCAACCATATCCCTTCTGTTGGAATGACGATTTCAGTCAGTCGAGTTTTCCAAGAACAGGGAATGGTATTGATGAGGGATTGTAGTCTTTCCCCTACCAATCTCAGTCTCCCGAGCTTCCCCTTTAGTTCCTTCTTTGTTCGCCACAAACCAGCATCTTCATTCCAAATGTCTCGAACTCTAACTACTCCTCTTTCAATCCACGCCTTACCAAAACAACCCGACGACTCATGGGCTGAGAAAATTGCCCCGGAAGCATCACGGACTAAGGGATTCTCAAACAGTATCTGACTCATAATAAAGTCCCTAGTCAATGGGTGCAGTCTTTTCGAAGGGAAGACTCTACGCCAAGCAAAGAGGATACTTCTCCAAAAGGAGGATTTTGGTCTTTTGTTAATATAAGATCCAATCATAAAACAGGCTAAAACGTCCTCTTCTCGGCTAAGTGTCCATTCTTCTTTCAATATATATTTAGCCAAAACAAGCCAAGGAGGTTCATCTTCAGTCATTAACGCCTTAACTACCCATTTAGCTAAAAGTGCCCAATTTTGTCTTTGTGGATCAAGTAGCCCCAACCCCCCTTCTGTTCTAGGAAAGGTAATGGTTTCCCAGGCGATCTTGGAAATAAATCCCTCTTGCTCCTCCGACTCTGGCTTCCACAGTATTCTGGCTGCTGCTCTCTTGATCTGCTTATACGCCTGTTCGCCGAGTACGTGAACTGCCAAAGTGTACCATAACACTGCAAAGCCTGCAGAGGAGATGACCAGTGCTCTTCCCACAAGCGACAAATGCCTTTTGTATTTCCAACTTAATAGTCTGTTAATTACCTTCTCCACCAGTACGATGTCCTGAAAGGAGACATTGTTACTCAAGGATACCTGCACTCCCAAAAATCGGTCAGATGCATCTGTAGGGACTGCCTTAAGGCCCCACTTGACCCTCAAACGAAACCCTTCAGGAGGGAAAAATACAGACTTATTCCAATTTATAGTAACCTTAGATAATAAACAATAGGTATTCAATACTTTCCTAAGAGCTCCTAGACTATACTTGGTGTTCTTGCACGCAACTGTTAAGTCATCCGCCAATGCACCTGCTTTCCACTGTTTGGTGGGCGACAGTCTAAGCCCTTCAATTTGATCATTCGTCCTGATATTGTCTAACAAAACTTCCAGTTGGAGAACAAATAGTAAAGGCGCAAGTGGACAACCTTGTCGTAATGACCGAGTCAAGGAGAACCTCTTCAAGGTTTTTCCATTGACCATCACAGCGGCAGTTGCTGACGAGTACATTGTTGCTACCCAGTTATTGAAATTAACACCAAACCCCATCTGTTTCAGGGTAGTCATCACGAAGGACCAGCCCACTCGGTCATAAGCTTTCTCCATGTCCAATAGGAGAATTGCCACATCTCTACGCTCTTTCGCTAATATCTCCAGTGCCTGGATCGTAGTTGCAATATTATCCATTATGGTCATGTGTCTGACAAATGCGCCCTGCTCTTTACCAATCAGGTTCGGTAAGTATCTCGCTAATCTGTTCGCAGGCGTCTTGGCCAACAATTTATACGACATATTAAGAAGGGATATAGGTCTCCAGTTCCTAATGTCAGTTTTGTCGCCTTTCTTATAGATAAATGAGATTACCCCTTTCATCATCCCCGACGTCAGTTTCCCTGCATTGAGAACATTATTATAGATTTTTAATAATAGAGGACTAATCTCAGGCCAAACTGCTAAATAAAGCTCTATCCGTAACCCAGCCTCCCCTGGAGTTATTCCTTTAGCCATGTGTTTAGCTGCTTGATATAGCTCCTCTTGATTTATAGGTCTGTCCAGATCCAAACAGGCAGAGGTGGATAACCTTACCTGTGTCCTGGTCCAGAAATCTGATTGTTCCCTCAGGTCCGTATCCATTGTGTCGAAGGTCCTTCTTGTTGTTAAAATATCTTCGAAGTATAAACGCGCGAATTCACACATTACGTCCAAGTCATCGGAGACTGTAGTCACGATTGAGAAGGGGTGGCTTAATTCTTTCATTGGTGTTTTGGCAGTCTGTAGTAAGAGTCTGCGGAAAGTATCTTTAGTCATTCGATCACCAGTGGTAATATTTCGCTGTTCCAATCATAAGTTTCACTGCTCTTGCCTCTGGATATCCATAGCCTCCAACTGTGCTAGACATCTCTTATGCTCAGCCGTCCAATATTTATCTCGTTCCGCACGAGCAATCATTAACTGCAGGTTTCTTTCCTTAGTGTTTCTGGCGAGTGATTTTAATTGGGACAAGTTATTAAGAAAATTCTGCAAAATCCGCATGCTTACCTCTACCCAATCTTCTTCCTTAGTGAAGAGTTTTCTCGCTTCATTCCACTGTTTCAGATGTCCCTGAATCCAGTGGATAACATCCGGGTCTTGGAGGTGCTGCGTATTCAACTTAAAATAGGATTTCCCGAAATTATCCTGGTGAGTAAGTTTGAAGGAAGCAACGATTGGGCTGTGATCTGAGAGAGAATGACTAAGTAAATCAACCTGCAGACAGGCATCCCAAGCCTGTCCCCTCATCAGGAAGAAATCCAGTCTCCTCCAGACTGGCGGAGACTGTGAACTATGCCATGTATATCCCGGTTCCTAAGGATGCAGAATACGATATGCATCAATAAGTCCCTGGGATACCATGAGGTTATTTAACAGTCTGCTGTCGGTCTTTCTGGGTTCCCTATTCGGGCTATCCAGCCCTGGTTTCAGAGTCACGTTCCAGTCGGCACCTATGACTAGGTTCTCGGAGTCTTGTAGAAAACTTGGCAACTCCGAAAGGAAAGTCAAGCGCTCATTGTAGTACACAAGGGTATAAACTGACATTATGGTCCAGGGCTCATTTTCAATCAGCAGTTTACCCCAGATCCATCTCCCCCAGATATCAATCATCTGATCAACAATATCGACTTCCAAATCTTTATGTATCAGTATGCCAACACCACCCCTCGAACCCTGAATCTGATTTTCCCCCCGTGCTGGTGCCCAAAAGTGTTTGCCCTTCCACCACTTCGGGACATCTTTTATACGAAATTCATCTAATTTGGATTCTTGAATACAAACTATATGAATCTTATTGAAATGAATCCAACTCTTCAATCGTTGTCTCCTATATTTTTTGTTGTTATCACACAACCCGCGCACGTTCCACGAAGCGATACGGAGTTTACCTCTAAGAGGCATCCGTCATCTCGGTGCCGTGTTTGCCATGGATGCGGCCACCGAGATCCAGGTTTGTCTCCCCTGTCTTCCTCCTTCGAATCCCTTCCGTGTTCCCCTCTGACATCTGTTCCTCCCATGGTTGACAGAGGGTATCCACGAAGGAAGGAGCAAACAGGGTCTGCCTGTGCGCTGAGTGAAACAACCACCTCGCAATTGTCCTACCCGTGAAATAGCCCTTAAAACTGATACAGTCCAGACCTTCATTCAATGGGGAGGACAGGGTGGAAAGTGGGAACCAGTCTTTGTCCAAGGAGAGCAACAGCTGTTTAACGTTATTTGTCATTCGTGCGTCCAAGAAAACGTAATACAACCTTGCTCTATTCCCCAGGCTGTCCTGCGCTGTGTCGACTCCCAGGCGCTAAGTTGGGATGACTCGCAGCTTCAGACACGCTGGTACCAACTTCTTCGCCTTGGCCAAGATAACTGATTTCGTTAACGCTTACGCAGTTGGGAGTTCCATGGATCCATTTGCAAACATGTTCGCCATGACCATCACCCCATGGCTGGAGTTAGCCAAGATTAACGGAACAAAAATTCTCAGAATATTCACTTCGGAAGTATCCAGAGTTGTAATAGGATTTTCGGGTAGGGGGCCTGGTCCAACGCCAAAAATCCCCTCTCCGCTTGTCGTCTCACCCACAAGACCGGACTGCACTCTATCGTCAGGTTCCCCTCCCCCCACCGGAACCCATTTCTGGTGGTGGGTGGGGAGGTCTCCTTTCTTTCTCCGGACCCCTTTCCCTGATAATACCTTCACTGCATGTTCTTCCAACATTGATTCCGTATCTTCCTTATCCTCGTCCGTTTCTTCATCCTCAGCGTCCTTTTCCTCCACAGACTTGTCCATTGGGATAGGAATGCTTTTGACCTTTTCCTGTCCCTTACTCTTTTGGTTCCTTTTCCCTTTTCCCCCTTCGTTCCTGCTTCCCGCAGAACTGTCCGAATTCACCGCTTCCTTATGGGAACGGTCTCGCCTACTCCCTCCACGTTTTTGTCTTTTTCACATTTCGACAGTAGTGTCCCGAAGCCCTAAAGGGGGTTAAACTGGCGAAGTGAGGCTGTCGAATTTATTTTCTCACAGCCGCTCGATTTTTTTTTGCCTTTCGACAGTGGTGTGGCCTACCCCCTTTTTTTTTTTTCTTTTTCAATAAAGCCCAGGTTGTTGTAGAGGTGGGATAGTCTCCCACAGTACTCGCCCACTCGGTTGTCCGGATGAACCCCTCTGAAGACCCCTCCCACCCTTCCTCTTCTCTCTGTCGTTCCGTGTCAAAAAGCAGCAACCTGCGGTTGCCCTTCTTCTGCACTTGTCGTCTGCTGCTCGTCGGGGTATCTCGGAGATCGCCATCGCCATCGCCATCGCCATCGCCGTAGCTGTCGGCGGCAGGCTCGCCATCGTCGGAGTTGTCATCGTTGCCACCGCCTTCTTCTTCTTCGGCGTCGTCGTCGTATTCGTGGCAGATCTCGTTGTGGCACGAAAAAGGTGCTCTCTCTCTCTCTCGCTCTCTCTCTCGTTTTTCTCTTTCTTTTCACGTCTGATCTGATGCATTGTATCAACCTTTTATTACATGACGACTCTCTGTCTCTCTGTCTCTGTGTGTGTGTGTGTGTGTGTGTGTGTGTGTGTGTGTGTGTGCGCGTAACCTGCCATTGCGTATTGGTCTACCTTCCGGTCGCTTTTGTCTGTCTGCCTCTCTCTCTCTCTCTCTCTCTCTCTCTCTCTCTCTCTCTCTCTGTGTGTGTCTGTCTGTCTGTCTGTCTGTCTGCCTCTGTGTGTCTGTGTATCTTGCCATTGCGCATCTGTCGACCTAACGGGCCGCTGTTTGTCTGTCTGGCTGTCTCCCGCATGTTTTATATCATTTGCGTTATCGTTGCCTTGGCGTCGAGAATGTGGGCACACACTTTACAGAGCGTCGGTCCACTGCTCATCTTCCTCCATGTATCTGGAGTCGGTAGTGGTCTTAATACATTCGAGACTTGCGATTCATGCGATTCCTCAATGTACCTGGAGTTGGTAGTGGTCTTAATACATTCGAGACTTTCGATTCATCTCAATGTATCTGGAGTCGGTAGTGGTCCGGTTCCTCAATGTATCTGGAGTCGGTAGTGGTCTTAATACATTCGAGACTTTCGATTCATCCGAACGTAATCGCGGTGATTGTTCAGGAAGCAACTCTCCTTACTTACGGGAGCTGCTTCAACGGCGGAAAACCCGGCCACTTCTTTCTTTGCATCTGGTCCAATTTCCGTCCAGATACATGTTGAGCTTTCATAGTGGAGAAAGGCCCATAGAAAGGTGCCCATAGAAAGGTGCACTCCATACATATTCCAAAACAATAAATCGCCACCAACTATTTTGGAATTTTATAAACTTCACCAGAAAATAAAAAATAAAAAAGAAAAAAGAAAAAAGAAAATGAAACACAATGAAATGAAATAAATGAAATGGAATAAAATAAAATAAAATAAGATAAAATGAAATGAAATGAACTAAAATGAAACGAAATGAAATGAAATGAAATGAAATGCCACGGATATACTCTCTAGCTGTGGGTCTCTGAATCTGGACGACGAACGTGGAGAGGGGGAGAACAGGAAAAACCAGAAAGGTAAAGAGGTAGGAAATGACGAATTAAAAAAAAAGAAAAGAAGATTGTGGTGATCTCCTCACCAACTTATTGAACTTTATTTCAAAATTCAAAGAGATCGTTTGTTTTTAAGTTTTCCCTTTTCTAGAAAACAAAGAAAAGATCGTTTGGTTAAAAAAAAAAAAAGAGGAAAAGATCGGGGTTTGGTTTTGAAAAAAAAAGGGAAAAGATCGTTTGGTTAAAAAGAAAAAAAGGAAAAGATCGTTTGGTTAAAAAAAAAAAAAAAGAAAATATCGTTTGGTTAAAAAAAAGGAAAGGAAAAGATCGTTTGGTTAAAAAAATAAAAAGGAAAAGATCGTTTGGTTAAAAAAAAACATCGTTTTGTTCTTTTCCTCAAAAAAATAAGATCGTATGTTGATCGAGGGGTAAAGATCGTTCGGTTAAAAAACAAAAAAAGGAAAAGATGAAAAAAAGGAAAAAAACAAAAAAAGGAACAAGATAAAAAGAAAGGAAAAGATTAAAAAAAAGACCTTGTGGTTCGAGTGGAGAATATTCCGCGTGATCCTTCTCTCTCTCTCTCTCTCTCTCTCTCTCTCTCTCTCTCTGTGGCATTTCATTTGTCGTTTTCTTCGCACTATTTAAGTGAAGCAGATAAAGTTTGGAGTTCAGGTAATTTGTCTCTTCGTTGCCCCCTCACCTCCTCTCTCCTCCTTTTTTTTTTTTTTTTTTTTTTTGTGCTTTTTCTTTTTTGTTACTTCTGTGCAGGGGGTGACACCGAGGTGATTAAGCTTTCTTTCTCGTGGTTCGTGTGCGTGTTCAGTGACCGAAAATAGGAAGCCTTCTTTTTTTTTTGCCTTTTTTTTTTTTTGCCTTTGTTTTTTTTCTTAACAGAGCTTTGATGTGTGTTTATTCACTATTATTATTATTTTTTTAATACTAATTTTGGTAATTTGGTAATTTCACATTACACGCTGAGAGCTTATTTGCAATATCAGTTATTTGCGTGTGAAGAGCAATCGGCCATTGCTCGTCTTCTTTCTTCCTCTTGGTGTCACATACCTCGCTTCTCTCTCTCTCTCTCTCTCTTTTTTTTTTTTTTTTTTTTCTTCAACTCACCTCCCTTCTCGATCTCTCAAATCCATTGGTTGGGAAAGTTGGTTGGGCCCGAAAGGCGATTATGGAAGAAGCCCCCTGAGGAGTGCCAGGAGCGCACAGCGTGAGCCCCTAAAAACGCGTCGGGGGCAATTTGGCGATGAAGTTTGTCTACTGTGAACTGTGCATGCGGAGATGATGTTATGTTTATCTGTTGAAGCATGTCTGTGAATAGTGAAAACAGTCTATGGCCGCTGTTTTCACTTTTCACTTTTCACTTTTCACTTTTCACTCACAGTTTATCTTCTTCTGAACAGTGCGGGCGGTTTACTCGGTGAAAACACTGAAAAGTGAAAACAGCGCCCTGGTTCATACTTCTTATGGCATTTTATGGATGCATCTTCCACAATCGTCCGACTCTCATTTCGTAGGTCGCGTGTTCGATTCTTGTTAGCAGCTCCTGCAAGTTGGATTCGATTCTTCCCTGC